GGGTATCGATTTTTAATTGGACAAAAAGAGATTGATAAAATGGATTTGGCGGGTTCGGATTGGCTCATACCCATCGACCAAAATCTTGCCTGGTGCACCGCGAAATGTGGCAAGGGACATGAGCGCTGCTGTAGGTCGGTCGACCTGGTCAAATCCTTGGCATCGCTCTCGACTTATGGGTGTCGGGCTCAAGCATTCCCCCTTGCGCATGATCGCCATGCCTGAAAACAAGCCAGCAGGAACCATCGGACAGTGCTGTGCCGATGCTCCAGTGGAGAAGCGGTCGACCAGGACGACGTCGATGGTTCACTTCTCCATCACAACTCGTCAGAGCATCCCAGTGGTGGTGTCGGCGTGGTCCATCCACACGCATCGCTGCCGAAGTCAAGAGGCCACCTTTGAGATGCTTGAATCACAGCAGCACCTGTGCTCCTTTGCATGACTCTCGACAAGTGAAGCGTCGTGCTACGACTTTAGCATGTGTGCTGGCGATCAGGATTTATATCGGCGTGCCGTCCACACAAACACGCCCTGGAGCATCGTGGTGCATCGCAATAAGTGTGCGCTAACGAACTCTCTCGCTGACGTCGTGGGCATGACACAAGCAGCTAATGCGCTGCTCGCTGTTCAAGGAAGCCATGACCGCGCCACCTGCCCGCAACGTGCGCGTCGTCCAAGTCATGCGAAGTGGAGACACACGGCTCGATTGAATAAAATGCCAAGGCATTGATCGAGGAGTTCCGACGGAAGCCATCGCGTGCTTTTCGATCGCTGCATCCTCGCGTTCGTGCTACAGACCGCCCACAATGCCGTCCAGTTGATCGCTCAGGGCATACCGCGACCGCCTACATTCCTCGTTGGTCCAACATCCCGCCATCGATGTCGACACACTCTGCCACGTTACCTGACTTTTTGCTGCGGATACGCCGCCGACGCTGTCCCGGGGAGGTAAAAATAAACATTTTGCACCAACGTTTCGACGCCCATGTACACGTGCGACGGGGTATGGATTGCCGCGATTGTGGCAAACAGTTTGTCTTCGGCCAGGGCCTACGACCGACAGCATCGATCGCTATCGACGGTCTTGAAAACACACTTACCTCGAACCATCGGCTTTGATGCTGGTAGTGTCGCTGGAGCAGCGGCAGCGCAACGTCCAAGTCGTTTTCCAATAGGGTCGGACCCAGCAGCGTCAGGATGGCCAGCGCCGTGCGAAAAAGAAACAGGACGCCGTCCAGCAAAAAGTTGTCAAACACCTACAACGAAAAACGATGAGCGGTCGCAGTCTGGTACGCCTGCCCAACAGCGCGACCCACACACCGAACGCGCATCGACTTTTCATCGTCCAGGACAAGAAAACGCGGCTTGATCAAGCAACGCAACATGGACGCAAAACCAAGCACACACAGTACCCGCGACGCGACTTCTAGCGGAAGCACTTGGAGGAACAGCGTTTGCAGCCAATTCATGAGAAAGAGGCTTGTCGGGACGCCAATGGAGTTGAAATGTTGAAATAGTTGGGGCAATTCCATCTTGAAGAACTCGTCAAACCACATATAGTAGTTGTCTACACCGCCAGCGCGTGAATTCCAAACAGATCTGGCGCGTAAAGTGTCCCTGCGACACGGGGTCCTCGCTCTACGTACGGGCCAAGTCGACGTCGAGCAAGTAGAACGTAAAGAGGTGCTCGTGAACCATTACGTTGGCGAGGCACTGGAATGTCAGGAACCTACGAGGACGATCCCATCCCGACGCATTAGCCCCACCTTGCCGCGATTCCACCGCCGCACCGATCGGTTGGCATGTGCAGGCACAGGAGCGCCGCGATATACGACATCCCTTGAATGTATCCCAAATCGGGGCGGTAGCATGCGTACGTTTCAAGCACTTCACGCAAAAAATCAAAGTACGGTCCTGCCACGGGTCGGTAGAAAATCCAGTCCCACGAAGGCGGCGGCGGCGGGACGTACCGCTCGTGTCGAACAGCTTGAGCGTCGGAAACGTGCGGGGGAGATCGGTGTGGATGAGCCGGACGGTGTGTTCGCGGCCGTTTGAAAGGTGCACGTTGCCCAGACCTAGAACGTGGAGTGCAAGTCGGTGGGAAAGCGGATGGCAGCGGCACGCAGCAAACGAAGCCATCGCGACCCCCACGTACGCGTTTGGCTAGCGCGTTGCCGGTACAATTGATACATGGCAGGGGTGATTTTGAGAGTATTCCCGATGGCCAGTGGCCACACCTACGAATGAACATGCGAGGCAACTACAACCAAGACGAGATGCAAATTTTTTACCTTGGACCGCAACGACGGTGGAATGCCCTGGCGCCACAACGTCTGCGCTAACGGCGAGTCTTTTGTGGCGTCCCAGTTGTCCAAGATCCGAGTGCGCCACAGCTAGGCAGTCCCGAACGAGGCTTGTGAACTGTGTGATCGGGACAGCAAATCGGTGTACGAGTACCCGCTTCGTACGGCGAAGGTCCTCTTCCTTTTGCAAACTTCCCGTCGTTGGCGGCTGCGTCCCGAGCTCGACGTGCGACCCCGACGCCCTGACCAGCACATCGATCATGCCTTGTACTCCAGTAGAACTAGCATCTTGTGTACTACCGTTCGAGAACCATCGTGAATTTGTGGCCGCACACGACGAGGAGCTCATGGCCTCGATCAAAGCAGTCCAGTCGCTACAGAAACAACATGTCGTGATCTAAACTTGAATGGATGCAATTGACTCTAGCCATCAAACATCCAACGCGATGGATGTTGGGAATGTCTTCATTTTCGAGAGGCAGTGGGCATCATACGTCGACGCGTCGTACCTCAGGCGAGTCCTTGTTGGTCGTATGGCCCAGGCCACAAGCGCCGTACACATTAAGCCCCCACGTCAACTACAGCGCGATGGTGGATATCAGAATTCAACCAAACAACACCATGGCTCTTCCATTCGAACGCAATCGAGTCGAAAGAAAATTTATCTGGCGCCTGGGGATGGTGTGGTGGCGCGATGGATGAAAATGAGTTACCAGCACATTCCGTTCCGTGGTTGCGACCGAGTGGAAGGCTCCACAGTAGACTTGAAGGACCCGATCCATCGCGAGGCACGTTGAAACATCCACAATCTGTGGCACCGGCTATCGTGGCAACAACTTTGAGAATCCATCTTCAAGAGCGAGAAGCATCGATCTCCAGCGGTTTGAAATCACCGGCCAGCACACAATGCATGTCCCGCATAAAAAATCGCCAAGGACCCACAACCGACGTCGACGCCGCAGACGACAACGTACTTGGTAGATGGTTTCTTTCCCCAGTTGGCCGTACTCGCCCAGGCCCCACGAGAACAGCTCGCCGCTGTCCGATACAGCCAGGGTGTGCGTGTACCCGCACGCCACGCCGACAATCTACACAGACTTGGCGTGAATGGCGCAAGGCACCACACATCGGGATGATCAGAATAACGTGGCTCGAATGGCACATGCCGCGCAGCACGTTCCGTCTTAAACGGATGACGGGGACACTGGCCAAAATCTTAGAGCATCGACACCACTCGGCTTGACAATTTTGTTGCCAGTCTACAACTTCCACTTACATTGTACGGACGGAGTGCATCAATTTGAACAGGGCTGTGCTGGTCGGCCTCAACGTAACCCAAGCCACACTGTCCTTCGGCCTGCTTACCCCAACTGTAAACACGTCCTGCCATGCTCAGCGCGATGGTAAAGTTCCATCCGCAGCACACGTGCTTCCATGCCACGTTGGACGAGACTGGAGTTGGTGTCTACACTGCTAGATCAAAATCGATCGATGCGGCATACACCACACTATCGTTGCAGGAACTTTTGAAAAAGAAAACCATAGAAAATTGAAGGACGAGAACCAATGTCGATGTGCTCGACACCTACCATGCGAAACAGTCCCGAGGAACCAAGGCCGAGGCGCCCGTGTTTGCCCCGACCAAACGTAAACAATTGATTTGTCGCGGAAATCACTGCCGTGTGTGCGCCACCACAGCTGCCTTGTACTACCCTTCGATATACAGCACAAGACGACTCACAAGATTAGGCACTTCATCTCGATGAAAAACATGTTGAAAATTCACGTCGCCATGCAAACAAAACACACGACGAAAAGTTGGCATGAAAAACACCGTCGTTTTTTCCCTCAAACTCCAGCTTGTAGACATGAAAAAACGATCCCACCTTGGTGCGGCATGTCCCTGCACCAAGTACACAAACGCTAACGGCACATTGCACACGTTCCAAGCACTCGAAAGATCGATGCGCCGTGCCTGGCCACACACACACACACACCTTTCTCCCAGCAAGCTCATGACCTTTCGTGGAACGGGTCGATCGCGAATATCGCCGTGGCCCAGACGTCCGTCTTCGCCACTTCCCCACGAGTACAACTAGCACAGCGTCCAGTGAGTAGCGATTGAGGCCGTGTGCGAATTGACGTCCAAAACATGTCCAAACAACCATCAACGAATCACACCTTCGTCATGGACAACTTACTTCGCCAACGTGGGTGATGGCCAAGGCGTGCTGCGGACCACAAGCGACCGTGACCACAATGGTGGAGTGGAGGGCTTTGTCGAGGGCAAACTGTTCGACCAGCTGGGGAGTTTCCAAGGTTTGCCCTTTTTCGTCTGGGTTGCAGCTGTACACTTCGCCCGACACTACAAAACCGTGTTGCTAGTTGCAGCGCTGGCTGGCCATTCACCGATATACATGCCATACAAAAACACAACAACTTGCCGACGGCAATTGAATCTCAACTTGAGCCAAGAGCACAATCAAATATTCTGTCCAAGCGAGGGAATGCAAAGAAAAAGCAATTCGGTGCTATCCAAGCCAGGGAAATTGCACACGAATACTCGAAGCGAGACGGGTAGGAGGGTGAAGTGTGGAGTTCGTATGAACGGATTGGGTGAGCTGATGTTTTAAGGCACACCTGTGAGAAAGAGGAGGCGGTCGCCACCGCACGCAACCTGGGCAATGTCTTGGCCGATGCGAATGGGCTGAGGGGTGGGTCGCAGCAACGGTGTCGTTGCGTCGGGTAATCGACCCCACACATACACTACGACAACCACAGGAAAGCGAAATGAGGGATTTTCTCCAAGAATATGAATTCAACAGAAAATCCTCAAGCCATGCAATTCGACCAGCGTGGATGGCGTGCCTGTGCGCCATCCCGATTCACAATCGCACTTGTTTTTCGTTCACACAAATCAACTCAGCCGAGCGCATGGCTCAAAAATTGCATCTTCACTCGACGAATCTACCTTGAGGGACTGTCGTGGAAGTCGCTGACTCGCTGTTGCTGTTCACGAGAGGAATTGGAGACGTTGGGCAGGCGTGATCGTCGGAGGACATGTCACCCTCGATGTCGCTGTCGTGAGGCCGTTTGGTAGCCGCACGGGCGATGTTGTGTAGGTCGTGTGTCCCAGGATTCGTGAAAACAGGCATCTCATTGGAGAATGGGGTGGTGTCGAGTGGATTTTGCGATGTGAGAAAGCCGCTGTGAGCCGCACGAAAGGCTGTTGAGACGTCGGTTAAAGTTGTTTGCAGCGATGCTTGGAGACTCTCTCGTTCGCGGAGGTATCGAAAGGCAGGATACAGCGGCGCAGCGGATCCACCGCGGTGGGTGGATGGCGCCAGGCAGCCCCAATAGGTCGCTTTCACTTCGGGAAGAACCTACAGATGCACGTGACATTCTTCAACAACAGCAGCAACAACATCGATCGAAAACTATCGATATCTTCGTGTCACGATATAGAACCCTGCACTTTCACAGCATTAGAATCTACGAATGGCCTACCAAGAACACTCCAAGGAAACACCGTCTACCATGTCAAAAAAAACACACTCACGAACGGCCTGCAGCATCGTCGCAACCAACTTGATGCTACATTGACACTGTCCACATTCGTCGCCATGGAGATGTACCTCATGGCATAGCTGGCGAATGGGCGCGACGACGTTGAGGCCGCAACTTTCCTGCAATACCTTCCACGGCTCCATGGAGAAGGACGTGAACGACGATGTCGACGGACGCGTCGGGGGTTGTTCGGCGTCTTTGGTCGTTTGGGCGATCGAAACCCCTGTCTCGGCATTCCTGTCTTCGACGAAAGTGCCGCTTTGGCCTAGACAACGAGCAGCAGTTGGCCGACGGGCCATCGACGACCAAAACACACTCAGAATACTCTGAGCCCGAGAACGCAACGAGAGTGCACGCAGCACAACGCACCGACACAACCATCTTGTCGTCATCGATTTTTCATGAAAACACACGTACCAAGCAATGGCATTCTCGACAACCGGGCAATCTCAGCTTCCACGGCAAGCGTCGCCTGAGAAAACGATTGAGCCGCGTGGAGATACGCCTGCACAACGTTCCACAGCGCATGGCACTGGCTTTCCACTTGCAGCACGTCGTTGCGGAGGTGGTTTGACAGCTCCAAGGGGGATTTCTCTTGGATCGCCGCGTCGTCGTTATCTGCGGGGAATATTCATCGTGACGACCTGAAAAAATGATGCACCATCCAGACAAAAACTCATTCCATCCACTTGTCGAGGTCGAAATCGGCGCAACGATGACAGGGGCCCTAGTGATGGGGAATCGAAAGTTCGGTCACCACGACTCGTCCAAGAAATATGGCGGACATAGGGTCACTATCTCACACAGGAGGGACAGCATTGGAAGAGCGCAGGGGTGCGTACGTCGCAGTTCATTCAAATGAGCAGTATCAACAACCTGGAACACCCACTACGCTGAAAACGTAATCTCTGTTTGAAACCACTCCACCATGCAATCGCTCCAAATCAAGAGAATGCCAAATGTGGTGAGCGGGAGTGCCATACCAAGGACGACCAGGCTCGAGTCGTCGACTTGTTCATCCATGTCGCCCGCGACACTGCCTTCGTCGTCACCCCATCGTGCTGCCGCCACACTCAGCGACTCTGACGACTACGTGGGTGGGGAGTGAGCCTCGCACGAGTCGGGAAGCTCAAGGGAGACCGTCAAGCACCGGTCCAACGACAGTGGCAAACTCGACGTACGATAGAAGAAAAGCGAGAGGAGGTCCCGTTGCTGCATGTGGACGAGGTCATTTCTCCGGGGGTGGCCCAATCCGCCAGCGGCGGGTGCAGCGGCATCGGAGGGCGGTTCTTGTGTGTATGCAGAAACTCGTAAAACATCTGAGCATACGACACATGGAACAATGAATGGCCAACATGCAACATGTGCACATGACGGGACAGAGGTTGAACCTGGATGTCGCGAGGGACAACGGTGGAACAAGGCGGAGGTGCCGCATCGATCCCGGAGACGAGTTTCAGTGCAGCAAAGATCTCGTCGACAAACCGTCGCAGCCCGTCGTACCTGTTTCGTGCGCACATGTCAGCATTGCGAGACCAAGGGGAAACGTTGTACCGATGTGCAAGCTGCTCCGCTGTAAGCGGGTACGGCTGCAACGCATACTTGGGTGGTAGCCCAACGGTGGTCTCGTAGTGGAGTTTCGTTGATAAGATTGCAATTTGAGAGTATCGCCTGGAAGGAAGGCGTCGTCGACGATCGGATGAATACGCGTGGAGAGACGTACCGGTAGATCAGAAACGACGACGTCGCCGCAGACGGATCGACAGTGGTGACTTCGATGACGTACACAACATACTGCTTGTCCGATCGTGGATCCTTTGCGCTGTAGAACCCAATGACGCGGACGTCGCGAATGGCGCGGAACTCCACGACGACATCGAGCACCATGCTATAATGATTGTTGTCAAGGAGAAAAAAGGTGCATCGACCAATCGACAACTCCGAAATACAAATCTTTTCTTACCCATCGTCAACGTCCAGTTTAATAATGCAAATTTGATTTTTGCCGGTCAGCCAAGAATATTTCACACAATTCGGGATTTTCTGATATATATTATCTTCAAAGGACTATAGTAACTGACAATATGCTCCGTCCTGTCAAATATTTGCTTCGTCACCTTTAGATGTGAAGGGCCATGCAGCGGTACTTTGCTGCTGCACGCCAGTGGAGAGATATCCATGTCGAGCTTTTGCAAATTGCTGCGCGTCGCACCTTCCTTCACCTGTACGTACTGCTTTCCCCAAGGACGCATCCGCCCTGATGCTGCTGTTATTTTGTCTACAAACAGGGCAACACAGCTGGCGCTGCGTGCAGTCAAACGCCTGCTCTCATGTGTAAAGGATCCCCAGTGTGTTGATACTATATTCGAGGACGTGCTCAAGTACAATATTTGAAATATCCCAGATACCTAAGTATTTTTCAATATTTGCAAATTTTGCTGAACGAATCGCTACTTTGGTGAGATGTTGTTGTGCAGGAGAGGAAGATGGAAGTACGTGCGCGGCCACCGCCAAGTGGCTGCACTTTGCTGGATTCAACTCGTGTCTCAGTTCTTCTGTTTGCGCGTGAACTCTCCGCGGAGGACACACACTACAGACGGCTTGCCATGACGCAATGGTCCATCACGACGCGGCCAGCGGTGCCCGCCGACGCTTCCTTCATCCTGGCGTGCACCAACGAAGCATTCATGGCGGACGCGTTCTTCAAGACGAAAGAGCACCACAATCGATACACGTTGGCCGATGTCCAAGCCATGTTGGTTGCACCCAACTCGAACTTCGTCGTCGCGGAGATCACTGACCATGACCAACACGACAGCGCCCGTTGCTGCGGCAGCATATACGTCAAGTGGGCCCATCATGCACAAACCAATGTCGTCGTGGGTCAGTTCTCCAGCGTGAGCGTTCTACTCGAATTTGAGCGGCGTGGAGTGGGCAGCCACCTCATCCAGGCCGCTGAGCTCCTCGTTGCAACTTATGCAAAGCACTTGTCATCGACACCGCGCATGGAAATTAGCGTTGTATCTGCCCGGAAGGACTTGTTCGGGTTCTACGAGCGCAAGGGGTATCGAGTCACGGGCACTCCCGTTGAAAGCCCTGAGTTCTCCTTGATGCTGAACGACACGCATCAGCATGTCCACTTGGTTGCCATGGAAAAGGTGCTCCAACTCCACGATGAAGGCCCAGCGGCCATGTGAAAGGAAGATCTCGATTCAACGGCAAATCCGGTAAGGAGTCATCTCTACTGTGTGCAGAGGTCGCGCGCCACTCAGTCGTGTAGAGCCACGAGTTTGTCGCCCTTTCCAAAAGACTTTGGATGGTTTGGTGCGTTCAATGTGTCGTTTTAACGAAGATAACCATGTTTTTCGTCAGAGCGGGTTGAAAAGTTCTCCTTGCATGCTCTCTCCACGTCGATGGCTTCACACACTCATGACATGACGGGTCGCGGTGACGGCGGCAGGGAAATCGTATTCTACCGTGCATCTTTTTGTATTGCGTTTCTTATACTACTATGTATAGGAATTTGAATACTGTATTGATGTCGAAAATTCGTGACAAATGATATCGATACGATACTTCCGCCACCTGCACGATTTAGAATTGATATTGTCTCACCCAAAGAAAACGATACTTACCGAAATAGAGATACGATTTTCGATACAGAGATCCCTCAAGTTTTGCTCCCTACTGAAAATGAATACTCCGGAGTATCTTCTTTAACATTATTTGATACTAGTATCAAGTTTCCTGGGATGGTTTGAACATGGTTTGAATTTGATGCTGGTGATTCAAAATTCAAAATGTGAGGCAGCGTTAGCTCCACGTAGTGCAAGACACTACGGCCATGACGTGGTCGCTATCTGCGTGGGAGTGTGTATCGTCCATGACGATTCATAATTGCTGGTAGCGTACTGGCATTGTATTTTGCGATGCCACAGGCTACTCAATCGAGCGATTGCTAAACTAATGTATTTCCCTTTATAAATTGATTTTTGTGGTCTCTTTGTCCTTGGTTTGGTCTGTTACAATTTATACTTTGACTGGGAACAAAAATTGAGGGATCTCTGTACTTATCGACATCGTAGCACTAGCAATAGTATATATGAACCAGAGGAAGGACATCCGCATGA